TCTGAACGAATTTGAGTTGTGCTTTTGAATGGATTTTTCGAAGCCGTGCACTCGACCTATTTTGTGGTGTTTCGTCGGCACCGTTTTTTTGGTTTTTTCGAGCCGAATTCGAAAGTTTCGTCTTGACCGTTGAAGAGGATTTTTTTTTTATTGACAGAGGTGAAGCTGTTGAACAATTTTGCAGAGAATGAGAAATGATAGCAGAGAGAGAGAAAAATAAGTTGGTTCCGCTTTTTTGGTAAGTGAATAATTAATTTCAATGAATTAAAGCACTTACTTTATTTTGTCCGAATAATTCCATAAGAAACCGTTACTTACATCTTGATCATTCTTATTTCAGGTATTTCTGCGATTTTTTATGCATCCTTTAGTCAATTTATAAATAAGATTATAATAGGCAGAAATTCTATGGTGCCCATATGGGCACCATAACCCTATGCCACAATCTTATGTGGCACATGATGTGGCTTTAGTTTACATTTATCAATTTCAACATAGATATTAGGTGGCTTATAAAAAAAAATATATTGTGAAATACTACAGTCCCGTTACGGAACTATGCCGTCGGAGTTCGTAACCGTTGGATCATCATGTAACTGTCGAGGATAGTTGATGCAACGATTACGAACCTCGACAGAATGATTCCGTAACGGGACCGTAGCATCTCCCTATAAAACTAGACGAAAAGAGAGGTAACAGAGAGTTTTTCGAGACATTAGCTTCATTCTTCACTTTTAACCATATCTACAATCCATAAAAACATAAGCTTACGATGCACTTACCCATAGACTATTTACTCAATCCATCCTTTATAAATTCTATTTTATCTTCTTGAATTTTGGACGTGAACCCCACATATTTTCATTGTGTTTAAGTTTTGACAAATCCACCGAGCACATTTGAAACACTCACCTACTCTTTTTGCTTTTCATTTCTTTGTAAAAGTACTTTTATCCATATCTAGCATATACTTTCATGAATTTAAAAACTCTCCATATAACTCTGAACTTATGCTTCAATCAACCATAGAACTAGACATGGCCACGGGCCGAACCGGCCCGTGGC